CGACGGCAGCAGCAGCAGCAGAGGAGAAAGATGAGTGAGCAGGATTTAGAGGAAGAGGAAGAAGAGGTGGAAAAAGAGAAACCTAAAAGAAACTTTTCAGAAAAAGTGAAAGAAGAAGATGAAGAAGAGGAAGACGAGCTGTTAGAGCTGCACACGTGCGAAACTAAAGCCAACTGTTTTCAATAAAGAGCTTATGAGCGGTAGGTAGAGAAAGAGAAAGCGTGTTTCCGGTTTTGACCTCTTACTGTCACTTAAAAAGGGCTCTCCAGAGAGAAGCCCTGATGAGAAGATAAGGTAATTTAGTAGGCAAAATAGAAGTAGGCAGTTAGCTAAGGCTGCCTGAGCAGTGCCTAGGACTGTCTCCAGAGAGTAAAGTGCTCAGCTCTTTGAGGTGTGCTGTACACCGGAGACAGTGCACTGAGCAGTCCCTGCTGGGAAGCGGCGGTGGCACAAAACACGAGGCCACCACTGTTATAAAAGCAGCGCCACCACACTTTACTCTTTTTCAGTCTTTCCTGAGGAAGAAGAAGAAGACGGTTAGCAAAACGTTTACAAACCACCACAACAACAACCACCACAAATCTATCCGCTGCTAACAGAGAAGATGAAAAAGCGAATTCTGAAACAAGTTCGCAGTGCTCCTGCTCCTGCTCCTGCTCCTGCTGCTGATGATGATGGTGGTGGGAATGCACCAACTTTGCTGTCAAACGCACCTGAAGAACAACAACAACAACAACCACCACCACCGCCTTCCGCCCCAAAAGCCTCCTTCTCCTGTCTGGAGTGGCAGTACGAGATAGCCAAACGCGAGAAAGAGGTAAAAGAAACGGAAGAAGAAGTGGAGGCAGCTGAACNAGGAATGCACCAACTTTGCTGTCAAACGCACCTGAAGAACAGCAACAACAACAACAACAACAACCACCGCCTGCCGCCCCAAAAGCCTCCTTCTCCTGTCTGGAGTGGCAGTACGAGATAGCCAAACGCGAGAAAGAGGTAAAAGAAACGGAAGAAGAAGTGGAGGCAGCTGAACGGCAAAAGGCGGCCGAAACGCTGGAAGAGAAGCTCAATGAAGTGGAAGCCGCCCTGGTAGAACAGCAGCGACAGCTGATAAGCCTCATACAGCTGCAAAGTGGCTGCAAGGAGAACGAACTGCCGGAGCTGCTGATGCTTGAACTCAGCCGAAACGGCCTCATTACTCCTCCTCCGTCGTCGGCGGCGGCGTCATTGTCATCAGCAGCCTCGGTGGAAAGCGTAACGTCACCCTCTTCTTCTCCTTCATCTTCTTCATCCTCATCTTCCAGCAAAAAGCCATCTGAGTTGACTGTTGAAGTTGAAGTTGAAACTCTTGAAACTCTTGAACAGAAGCAAAGCGAACAAGCGCAAACAGCTCAACAAAATCAACAACAACAACAAAAGCAACAACAGCAAAGCAAGCAGAAGCAAACGGCTCAACAAAAACAACAACAAAAGCAAAAACAAAAACAACAGCAACAGCATCAGCCTAACCGCCCACTCTCCGAGGACGTCAGCTTGCCAGCAGCTTCCTCTCCATCAACAGCCACTCCCATATCAACACCCTCCTCCTCCTCCTCCTCCTCCTCCTCCCAGGCATCACCAGCAGGATCTTCAGCCGGATCAACAGCTTCTTCATCTTCCTCATCCTCATCCTCGACCTTGACCGGCACTCTCTCCTCCTCCTCCTCCGCAAACTACTACCTCATCCTGCAGCTAACATGTCCCGAGCCGGGCTGCCTCTGGGTCGGCGACACCGAGCCCGCCCTGGAGCAGCACCTCCTCCTCGGCCACCGCCTCCAGCTGAATCGATGTCCGGCCAGTGGGTGTGAGCAGTCCTTTTCTATTGTGTAAGTGAAGTTTATACCATTTGCAGCTAATCTTTGAAAACAAACTAACCTCGAACTCGATCTTTTCCTGTTCCCTCTTTTTAGAAACGACCTATACTGCCATGTAGAACGGGCTCATGAGAAGAACGCCGGTGAGGGCGAGGGAAAGGGAAAGGGAAAGGGACTTCAGTGTCGGCAGTGTGCGCAGCTCTTTCCCGGCTACGTGCAGCTGGTGATGCACTTCCGCGGGGTTCACCAGCGAGGCACCTTCCAGTGCGCCTACTGCCAGGTGGCCACCTTCAAGAGTCGCGCCAAGACGCTCACCCACTACCGAAAGTGCAAACGCTGGTTTAAGAGCTTGTGAAGAGGAGAAGGAGGAGGAGGAGGAGGCTGTGCTTTTATTTTTATCTATCTATCCTAGGCTAATCTTTTACAATCTGTGTATTTTTCTCCCTCATGATCTAACGTGTTTTAATGTTTTTACAACTCCACTTTGAAGGTTGAACAGTGTTGTGTGGAGATCTTCTGAATTACAAAGAGGTTTAAGCGCTACTGATTTTTGTTTATACACAATGAAAGGGGAGGAAATACCTTTTCCATCTTCTAAAAGTCCTCATCCTTGATCGCCTCCTTGACGGGCATCGTCCGCAGCAGTTCGCCTTGCTCTTCGGGCAGGGCCGCGAATCGCGGTTCCCGGTCCCAGTCAAGTCGAAGGGGCAGGCCCTTGTGGTGAAGTAGACAGCGNCGCAGCAGTTCGCCTTGCTCTTCGGGCAGGGCCGCGAATCGCGGTTCCCGGTCCCAGTCAAGTCGAAGGGGCAGGCCCTTGTGGTGAAGTAGACAGCGAACGTGGACCGTCTCCTGGCCGTTGATGGTCACCTTGACGGCGATGTCGCGGCCCTGGAGGCCCTCCACGTCGGGTCCGCGAATGGGCGTCGCCGGGAGGGTGATGCACTCGTTGGGCACGGCGTAGCCGGCCGCTCGGAAGGCCACTCGAACGTGGTCCGCCGTCAGCGTCCACGGCTTCAGGTCGTTCACGGTGAGGACGATCACCTCGCGGGCGAGCCGCTTCACGGTGGGCATCACAAAGGCGGAACTGGGTCCGGTCCGGTCCTTGCTGCCCTCCTCAATTAGCGAGCGGTACTTGGCGAGGTTGTACGGGTCGGCGTAGACGGCCGCCTGGCTGGAGAGCAGCCGGTGACGGGCAAAGTCGCGGTCCACGTCGACGACGTCGCCGGCGACGCCGAGCTCGTCGACGGTGGTCAGCAGGAGGACCTTCAGCTTGGGCCCGTCACCGGATGGCGGCGGCTTCTTCTCCTGTTCCACCTCCTCGTAGATGTAGTCCGCCACGGGGCGCGGCTTCTGGTACCAGCGGTGCTCGCGAATGAAGGGGCCCACCACTAGATTGCTGGTCGGCTTCGGCTGGTTGGGCAGCTTCACTTTGCGCTTCAGGAGGAAGGACGCCTCGGTGACCTCGCGCCGGACTGACTGGTGGAGAGG